TGTATTCGTGGAATCCTCGTTGAGCCACCGACGAGGACGATGTCGTGAATTTTTCCCTTGTCCATCTTAGCATCGCGAAGAGCTTCTTCGACAGGCTGCAGTGTGTTCTTGAAGAGATCCTGATTAAGCTCTTCGAAGCGAGCGCGAGTAATGGATGTATAAAAGTCGATCCCATCGAGCAATGAGTCAATTTCGATATTGGCTTGAGTTGAAGAGGACAATGTTCTCTTGGCGCGCTCGCATGCTGTTCTCAATCGCCGAAGTGCCCGTTTGTTCTTCGTCAGATCCTTTTTGAACTTCCTCGAGAACTCTTGCGAGAAGTGTGTTACCATACGGCTATCGAAATCCTCGCCACCCAAATGAGTATCACCCGCAGTTGATTTTACCTGAAACATTGCTTTTGCTTTATGCACTCACCAGAATTTAATTTCATTAAATTCAAGTAGTACCAAAAGCTCATATTTTTTTAATAGAGATTCATGTTTGGTCTTAAATTCGTCATTTTACAAAAATTGATAGAGTAACTTAAACGACTTTTCGCTATTATTCATATCAATAAAGGGCACGAAAATATGAGACCAACGTGTGGTACTGATAAGTAGACTTACTTCGAATATACCGTCGTTAATAGTTAGTATCGATACATCGAAAGTACCGCCACCAAGATCAAAGATCAGAACGTGCCTTTCACCGCGTCCCTTCTTGTCGAGACCATAAGCAATAGCGGCCGCAGTCGGCTCGTTAATGATCCTTAGGACGTTCAAGCCTGAGATAGTACCGGCGTCTTTGGTAGCTTGCCGTTGAGAATCGTTAAAGTACGCCGGCACCGTGATTACAGCGTTTGTGACAGATTTTCCCAGAAAGCCTTCCGCGGTTTCCTTCATTTTCGTCAACACCATCGACGAGATCTCCTCAGGGAAGAACGACTTCGTCTCTTTCTAGGAACGATAGGTAAAATTGAACAACGGACTTAAAATAAATAATCGATTTATTAAAATCCACTTGACACAACGAGAGATTGTAAAGTGCTACATAAACGTTATAAAATTATGTAATAATAAGAGTCATAAAATATCTAATTATCTAATAATAATAATAAAGATGTAACAATTAATATCTTCATCGGAATGGTAACATTTATCACATTAAACGCGAGATTGATTGAGAGTCATTGGTTGATGGACTCACTTTGTATTGAACTTTGATTTTTGGTTTCCCTCCGTCGTTAATCACGGTGAACGGCCACTGTTTCATGTCAGATTGAACTGATGGATCGTCGAAGCGTCTGCCGATCAGCCTCTTCGCGTCTGTCGGGTAATTTGATTTAAACTTTTCTTAATTATCGATTCGAGCGCTGATATCGATACGCGTTCAAAGTATAAATCAATTATGGAATCGGCCTTAAAGACGATCGAGATTGAAGAAATTAACAACGTAAGGATCGAAACTAATAGACCTCGAAGTATCAATATAACGACGATATAACTTTTAAAGACATAGCACCGTTAAGCTTTCTGACAAATGAAACGAGATTATAAAGTAGTATTCGCTAATTAGAATTGTATATAATTATTTAGCACTTTAACTTCATCCATCAGAAATCACGATGATATCTCTTAAAAAATGATCAAACTGTATTTGCATAACTTGAATAAAAATCGAGAAACTCTTATGTGGATGCACATCGCACGCCTACCGAAAATCGTGTTTGTGGGATTCATAGCTACTTGGTTTTTGGCTGCATCGCCAATTAACCTTTCCGCTTCTGTAAACGCGACATAACTCGGCGTGGTGCGGTTCCCTTGGTCATTAGCGATGATTTCAACCTTTCCATTGATGAACACCCCGACGCAAGAGTATGTGGTACCCAAGTCGATGCCCACTGCCGGTGCGGCCATTGTGGACCTGTGAAATTTTGAATTTTGTAACCGAAAAATAGGACAGGACGGTGGTCAGTCGTTGTTTAATTATTTCGATCGTTCAACCTGCTTTCTTCTCATATCCAACGCCGTGTATGATCCAGCTAACACAGAATCCTACAATCCTATATTGTGATATTCAAAAATGGAAGGAATTTCATCACATCGTTAATGAATATTTTATAATCAAACTATGCATATTTACAGCTAAACCAAAAAGTTAATAAAAAAAAAATAATAAATAGCAAAAGAAATAAGAATCTTTTAATAGAGGCACGATGAGTAGTAATGATTTTACATGGACGATGCTGCAACGTTAGATGTAAGATTGAGCTGCTCACAATGCAGAGAAAGCTTCTCTAAATATTAACACTTTTCCAGAAATAGATGTGTCAATTTCTTAGGAAAGTTGATTTGAAAATTTCTTACTGGAGGTACAAAACTTCAAAGAAATAAGCGTTTGTTAGTGATAATATTTAAAATTGTTAAGATATGTACATCATTAATACAATAGAGTTTAATAATTTAATAATTTCTTAAGAAAATCAAAGAGCGCGATGGTATTGCATACAAGAAAAAATTGCGTAACACGAGAATTCTTCACTTCTTTTTTTTGTAAAAGGATTGAAAGACACTTTGAATGATATGTCATATATATAATAATGTTCAATAAAATATGATTACATTTAGTGAACGGGTTACTGATGCACATGTAGTTGTACTTGTGCGTGCAAGGTTGCTCAATTGATTTATCCGCTGTGCCAATTATTTCCAATTTACGTTTGGTAAACACCTTGAACGTTCGTACTCTTAGCCAATACTTCGGTGAAAGTACTATTTTCAGTATATAATGCGTTTCTGTTCCACTTGACGTCCTTTTTTGCATTGCGCTTCGCAAACGGAACGTCAAGAGTGCAGTCACATGTTATCATTCGTCTAGACTCTATTGACTCAACAGTTCGTCTTATTAAAATATAAGAAATAGTGGAAAAACATAAAAATCAGAAACAACGGGAGTGATGATTAATTTTTAAAAGTCTAAGTAATATCATTTATTTCGACAATATAGATTATTATTATTAGAGTTTTATTATAGAGCAAGATACTTACTATCATTAAAAAAATGTGCAAACACAGTGAAAATGAATTATAATAATTAATTTTATATAAACTTGCAACATTACTTTGACCTTCAAGATAATTCGTTACTCTATAACATGTAACCGGTTTCAGGAAAGTTGTGCAACAAAATCTGATAAAATGCATCTTACAAAAGAGGATTGCAGTACCATGATTAATATTACGGTATTAAAATTAAAGTTCCTTTTAAAATCGTCAGCTCGACATTGATTGGAGTCATTTAACTATTTATAATAACAGTCTACGAATATATCGCAAGCATATCAAATTAATAAAATAAAAATATAATAAAATATAAATAATGGTTCTGATAATGTTCATCGAATTAATAATGTGGTTCATCATCCTGTTCATCGTGACTATTTTAATTTTGAAAGTATGCCACAGTTATAATCGACCGCAAAAATTTCCACCAGGTAATAAATAATAAAATACGATAAACAAGCAAATCTTGTTGAAGAAAATTGATATGTGCATAATATTAAAATATTCAAGGTCCTAAGGGGTTACCATTAATTGGAAATATCCTCGACATAATACGACTAGTAAACGAAACGAAATTCTACGCGGATGCCTGGTGTCGACTGGCTGAAAAATACGGACCAGTAGTCGGTATCAGATTAGGTTTTGATGAACCGATGATCATTGTTTCTGGCAAACCGGCTATCACGGAGATGCTAAATCGGGCGGAATTCGATGGGAGACCAAACGGATTCCTATTTAGATATAGAACCGGTGGCACTCGACAAGGAATACTGTTTACGGATACAAATGTTTGGCAAAATCAAAGAAGGTATATTATGCAATGTAATTCTAAGCTCTACTTGAGCCATACAGATCCTAAATGAGTTTACTCGATTTTTAAAACTAAGACTTAGGTTTTGGTATAAAATGTGAAATTAATCGATTTGACTTTTGAATGTATATAATTCTGGCATAGTGATCTTAATATGTAATTCGAGAAGCTGAATTTTATATTCCATTGTTGTCAATAGATTTGCATTGAAAACACTAAAGCAATACGGTTTCGGGAAAAACTCGATGGAAGAAATGCTGAAACACGATGCGATCACATTAACAAATGTCGTTCTCGAGTTAACGAGAAGGGGTACGATTAAAACAATTAGCTCTGTTGTCTCAGCGGCCGTTTTGAGCAGCCTATGGTTTCTGATAGATGGTACAAAGTATGTAAGCCTACGAGATTCATTTAAAGAAAGGAATCTGAATAATAAAGTTTGTAAAAATGTGTAAAAATTCAGATTTGATGTCGGAACGGAAGATCCGAATCTGGCGGAAGCGATCAATATTTTACAAAGTCTCACAAGTAACTCAAGCGTTCCTGGCGGTATTTTAAATTATTTCCCATTCCTGAGACACCTGTTCCCAAATTTAACAGGGTTCTCGGTATTCGCTGAACGACAGAAACGCATAAACAATTTCTTCGCAGTAAGCTGTTCGTCATGCTAATAATTTATTAATTTCGTACTTTGCAGTCACCTATTTTTGTAGGACGTAATTACTAAACACAAGCGACACGGAATCGACGACCAATGTACAAATTTTATAGATGCTTATTTGAAAGAAATAGAAGCGCAAAAAGAATCGAATTCGGGTTACACGTTTTTCAATGGTAATAATGCAAACATTTTATTCTTTATTATTATAAAGTTATTTAATATTTTTTTTTAGAGACTCAATTGTTATTCGTGATAAAGGATTTATTTGCTGCTGGCGTTGACACAACTAATAACACTATTGGTTTCGTGATAGCGTTTCTTGTCGTCCATCAAGACGTACAAGCTAAAGTATACGACGAGATCAGTCGAGTCGTTGGTAAAGACGTTTATCCGTCTTTGAATGACAAAGACAGGTAAAGATTTTATCTTAATAAAATAATCAGAAATATTCAATATTAATATTAAGTAAATATGTACGATATTTTTACTAAATAATAATTAAAATATGAGTATATTCCTATTTTTTAAGATTGCCATATTTGAGAGCAGTTTTAGCTGAAGTGTCGAGATTAGCTAATGTCGGGCCAACGTCTATACCCCATCGTGCGATAGTTGACACAGATTTACTGGGTTATGAGATTAAACGAAATTACACGCTGTTGGCTAATTTTAAGAGCGTTCATATGAGCAAAGAACATTGGGGAGATCCGGAAGTGTTCCGACCGGAAAGGTTCATCGACGAGAACGGAAAATTCATTACCGATTCTTGGCTAATGCCCTTCGGATTAGGTAAGTTCAAGAAACAGGTTGATTAAATAATTAAGAGGCAGAAAAATCATTTTAATATAAGAATTACAATAAAATAGCTATGCATTTATTTTACATAGGGCGAAGAAAATGTCTAGGCGAGACTTTAGCGAAAAATACAGTTTTCCTTTTTATGGCAAGTTTATTGCAAAGAATACGTTTCACATTGCCATCTGACCATCCCAAACCTTCTCTTCGAGGCATTGAAGGATTTGTTGTCACACCGCCTGTTATGGATATTGTTGCTCTTCAAAGATAAACCATTATGATAAAATCTGTTGAACTTTTAATGCGATGAATTAATGATAAATCTAATTTTCATTTCAGCATATGATTAGAAAGAGCCTTAAAAATTTTTCATAAAATGTATGATTAATAATAATTTCTTATACATTACATTATATTACATTGGAAGAATAATTACTTAGTCTGTAATATTCGTTTTCTCACCTATACACCATTGCATAAATCGTAGCTGTAGTTGCCAAATACGAAAAAGTTCTTGAAATTCTTTTTGGAGTGGCTGCACAACACCAGCGGTTTGAAATCCTCCGAAATCACCTGAATAATTATTCACGACATAAATCGGCATGCAAATTGGAACCGAAAGAACTTTGGAATTAGCCAATGATTTCGTAGTTCCTGTTGACCAAAATAATATTAGCACCGAGGAGAGATTACTAATCTCTCCTCGGTGATATTAGTGATTCTATTTACCGATTGAAGGAATATATTGAGGATATTGAGTTCATGCCATTCACTGTGAGATGATAGCACTTGCCAATTCTGAAAAATATTGCAGAAAAACAGAAATATTACATAAACAGATAACAATAAATATTATTAACATAGAAAGAAGGAAGGAACGCGATTCTTATTGAATAAATGGTAATTAAGTTTAGTGTAAGAGTACAATACGGAATACTGTCTATCGTTTATGTTGCCATAATATGGACAAGATTGTAACCTAAACCGAGTAGGTTATTTTCGTAATTTCGTAGGTATGTATTTATTTATTGAGATATCTCTACTTATTTCATGTTATACTTATGGAGGTCAATTAATCAAGTATCGTAATATAATGGATATTGTAAACGAGTGCAATTTTTATATATATATAATTTTTTATATATGATTCTTTTAGTGTTTATTAAGATGGCAAAAGATCCATCGAATGAGATTGTTCTAAGCTACTATGACTGCCTACTAAGAGCCAGAGATGTGGCCCTGCTTGAAGGACCTCATTGGCTGAACGATGTAATAATTGGATTCTACTTTGAATATCTGGATGAGAAATTCAACAGCAAGGATGGAAAGAAGGAGCTATTTTTTGTCAGTCCTGAATTAACGCAACTATTAAAGATGACAGATCCTTCTCAGTACAACATATTCTTAGATCCTCTGAATATAACTGAGAGCAAGTGCATCTTCTTCCCTTTGAACAACTGCGATAGGAAGGATGCAGCTGGTGGATCTCATTGGAGTCTGCTAGTCTTTTGCAGACAGAGCAAAGCATGCTACCACTTCGATTCCTCGCGGGGTTACAATAAGAGTGTTGCCTCGAAATTTTCTAGAGATATAATGAATTGTATACTTGGCTTGGATAAAGCGAATAAAAAGTTCATTGACGTGGACTGTCCACAGCAGGACAATGGTTACGATTGTGGGATATTCGTTTTATGTTTAACAGATTTAATTATAGAGCACGTTGCGAAAACTGGGAAAGTCGATGGCTGCAGCATCAATCGTGTTAAGGAATTAACGTGCTCGAAGCGTATGGAACTGTTGAACCTGATAAATAATCTTAAACGCAAATCTAGTTAAAAATATTCATTGTATACAATGGAATCTCTTGTATCCAAATTTAAAGATAACTTGAGCAAGTTTATTCTGCGGATGTCTACCTCAGAAATACTATAGAATATCTTAACATGCCCAATAGAAGCAACAAACATGTATATACCTATTTTACAAGTTCTTCATTAATAATTATCATAATATTTTGTTGTCAATGTTAACATTGAACATTCCTATTTAATATAAGTACATGTACAAAGAATGAATATATTATAATGTATAATTGCGTGTGCATGAGAGTATGTATAAAATATAAAAATATGTTGAGTGTAACTAATTTAATTGGAATAAAATAATGTTTCGTGTTAATTCTCTCATTTTTTTAACTAGAAATTAAAACACACTACAGAAGATACGAGGACAGATTAACCGAATATCCTAACATACTGACAGCTAATATACTTGATGAGACTCGAATCAAGACTTAAAATATACAAAACTATAAACGTATAATTATATAATGTTACTACTAACAAAATTATATGTCTTTTTATATGAATTCGTTATTCAAGCATCTGCAAAACTATGAGCCGATGGGTTAAATACTTACAAGCTTAGTCTGCGTATGTGCTTTTATGTGTATAAGATTTACTTATTGTCAGCTCAGACACATTTTAAATAAACATGGAGAAAAAAAATTTCTTTAACAAGAATTTTTTTAAAAATTTTTAAACAAATAATTGACTGTCAAATAATTTGCGTATGAAAGACTAGACGAACAGCTATTAAATAATAATCTAATGGTTACTATCAATTGACCTCAATAAATGTAAAAATAATTGAAACTACGCACTGGCCTAATCTCTATTAGTACTGTTCAAGTTAGTTTATTCAAACCGGTTAAACTGTCGAAATCCTGTGAAACAATCCATAATATCGAAAACTGTAAAACAATTTAGAGTATTTTTAATATTTAGATACAAATTAATTGATTTATTCTGATGTTTTCTCAAACTGCAATAAATAAAGTTCTTGGCAATGATCAAAAGTTTAGTAAAGTGGGCGCAGAAATCGAATGTCGTGGATTGAGCTACGTCAATCAAGATGTTGAAGATTTAAGACATACGTGCAATTTCCTATTGATTATAGCAATTATTGGTTACCGTGATAGACGATAATGACAAAGCGTTCTGGTCGACTAAAGTGCTGATTAGATTAAGCGGCAAGAGTATAACTTTATCGTGAAATACGCAAACTGTAATAAGACGTTATATGTTTCGTTTCAATCCATATTTCACATTTACCCGGCGCGATAAGTTACGTACCACACGACAGCCGATCTTATGTTATAATTCATTGCTCGATACAATATTTGTATAAGTCATTTTATTAGGAGCCGCGTTTTTATTGTTAATGTTATTACATTTAACTATGTATAATGTTTTACTGGTTTAAACAGTGATAATCTATAAAATTCTGTATTGAGTCTTTTTTTAAATGAATTTTTTGAGTTAAAGTGAGTGTTGCGATTAAATGCGTAACTGATATAATTAAGAACTTAACAATTAAAAGTTTCAATCATTAAAAATTGAAGACTAAAACGAAAGAGAATATTACACCTGAGTGGTTTTATGTGTTCGTTAAGGATAAAAAATGTGATGACATTATATATATAAGAAATAAATTATCAAGCTTGCTGTTTAATAATATAATATGACATACTTCGATAATAATAAATTAATAAGGAAATAACAAAATGACTACTCAACAAACTGCTAAATTACCCCCGGACGGAAAATGGGGGTGGATGATTGTCCTGGCGTTTTCTTTAAGCGGAGTAAGTTTTAAAAATGTATTATAGAATTATACTTAAGGATGATTGCATTTCTGTTTCTACATATTTCTGGTTGTACGATTCCTTCTGTATTAAAGAAAAAGACATTGCTAGGCTTATTTAATTTTAGTATATAAATATGGCGAATATTAAATTAGAACAATTGATAAGAAAGATCGATGTTATGTTTATAAATATATTAATTTATATAATAATTATTGAATATTTTAATTTATATAATAATTATTCATTGTTTGAATACACAAACTTCATTTTATATTCTCAGCTAGCTACAATATCCATCTTGCAAGGATTCGGATTGATATTCAAAGATACCTTTCCACTTTTCGGCTTCACCGCCACTGAGGGAAGCATAATCCTTAACACGAACTTAGCAAGCGGCAATATTCTCGGATTAGTAAACGGTCCGTTGTTGGCAAAACATGGATATAGAAAAATGGCTGCAATCGGCAGCGCGATTTGGAGTATTGCTATCATCTCGACAGCGTTTGCGAAAACATTCACCTCCCTATTAATCGTCTATGGTATATGTGCCTGTAAGTCCTATTATTGATATTAAACGAATAACAAGTGTTTCAGTACCTAATGTAATATCATATATTTATATTTGCAATAGCGAAGTATTTCTTGAATTATGAATTTTATTTTATGTACACATTTTAAGTGATCCGAATTTTTACAAAACAAACAAATTGAATCGAAATTCTAAACGATTAAAAAACCATTTAAACTCTTTCTGAACACCTGATAGATTTCCTCCTATCACTAATCGTTATCAGCCGCATATAAGATTAAGTAATTTGATGCAATATCATACATAATCGTACATACTTCGTACGGAATAATTTGCAATAAAGAATTTGCTTAAATACTCTGGATGTGTGTATAAACTGAATGACTAAATTCATTTTACAGTGAATCTTATAGTTCACGATTTTACAATTAAGGCAGATACTGCTGGATGCAGCTTGTTAGGCATTGCAAGTACGTGTAGATCGGGTAGCATGTCGCATGCTATCTCTCACAGTAGTAGTAGTAGTAGTATTTGCTATAATATAGTATTGGCTAGAACACTTCTCTTACTCAGAAAACGATACGAAAAAAGCAATTTGAAAAAGGACGCTCGTGATCAATTCCATGCTATAAAAAAAAGGCAGGCATATCTTTCTTTTTCGTACTTTCAACACTCCAGTAGTATGCGCTCTATGCCCTAAGATTAGAATGATAATGATTCACCTTTTTTTATCTCTGACTTTTCGTTTCATTAGTATTCACAATATGAAACAATATAAGAAACGAACAATATATTTCAAATGAAATATGCTTTAATTTATTATACCCTCTGTAGACGAATTTGAAATTTTCTTCACGGTACTTAATGACTAAATGCTGACAATACTTAACACAATTTTTATAATAATTGCATAATTGATGAAAATAATTTTTCTATATAGCGATGGGCTTGAGTATAGTTATGTCGGCTTTTTCGTTCGCGTTGAACTCTTATTTTACAACAAAAAGGGGACGCGCTGCATCTGTGGCCTTGACATTAGTCGGCTTGGGGCCGATAATCGTACCGCAAGTGACTAGCTATTTAATTTCCTATTACGGATTTCAAGTAAGTCAATTTCTGGAAATATTCCATCCCTCATTTCTTTATAGTGCGTGAAATATTTCAGTTTTCTTTTATTCGTTTAGGGGACGATCTTGTTATACGGAGCGTTTACTTTACATTCGCTGGTGGCTTCTACTTTACTTCAACCGTTGAAGTGGCACACGATAGATCCTAGTAACAAGTCGGAAAGCGGAAACGAGGAGTTATTGAAAAACGAAGAAGATGGTAAAATTGTATTTATTTCTGAACGTCTATTTTGTCATTCCTAAACGTATGACAAGATAGAATGGCTAAAAGTAAGGCATTCTATTAATTAAATTAATTTCAGACGACAAGAGTGATAATTTTAAAGAGACAAGCCCCAAAGTCTCCACGTTGGATTTAAATCATACGCAGCGAAGGAGGAAATTGACTGTTTGCAGTATTGATCACGACTCTGAGCTTGGAAGCATATACGGAATTGACATTCCCTATTCTAGACAAATGTCAGAAACGATAAGTGGTAAATAAATGACCAAATGCATCCTAGAATAATTCATCAACATATATTAATATTGTTCAAATTTATATTAACTATTAATTTCTTAGTCTTTTACTTAATTTTGTCCAGTTAATGATACAAAAATTACATTAACACAGCTTCTATGAATGCGAAAGATTCCGATATCTACAGGATACTTGAAAATGGCCGCAAGGAGGAGAATTGTCCCAGAAAGCAGATTCGTAATCGTCGATGTACGTATTCAAACCTGTCCCAGGCAAGAATAACCAACGATATTAATTAACACTAGATTGCCCAAGGAAGTCATTTTGACTGCTTTTGGGCAAATGTACAAATAATAATGCATAAATTATTTTTT